CTGAGGGATTATTTCTCACTTTTTCTATCGCTCTGTCTGTCTCCAGCAAACACATGTGCTGTATAGCAAAAACAAAACTGGGAACAGAGATGTCAGCAGATAGCTGGACTCCCACATGGCTGGCCATGGTTCAAATCCCAGACCTGGTGGCTTTTTTTCTCTATCTCTCTGTCTCCCATTTGTGAGCACAAGTGCTCTGCAGCAAATTTAAAAAATAACGATGATAAATAATTAAATAAATAAATCTTTAAAAAAAAATTGGGACCAGCAGATGGTGTGATGGTTAGGCCACTGGACTCCCATGTAGTTGACTGTGGTTTCAGTCCTGGACCTGGTGACTTAAAACTCCTGCTGGCCCATGTGCATGTGTGCTCAAGATCCCACGAGGACAAGGAAGAAGAGATTAAGGTATGGTCATCCTCCCTGGGAGGTGATGTTTTGCTTTCTGTCTCTCTGGTTCTCCAGCAAGAACGCATGCCATATAGCAAAAATCTCTCAAAAAAAAAAGAAAAAGAAAGAAACCAAAAACACAACTCTTATGAAATAATAAAATAGAAATAAAGATAAAGAGTATCTATAAAAACTCCAAAGGCAAATATTTTCTTTTTTTGGACTAGAGGGTATGTGTGCTTCTTGGAGACAGACAGAGAGAGGGTAAGGGGAAAGAAAGTACCCTCCACGATGGGGAATGATCATACAGCAATCCCTTCTTCTCCATTTCTCCCTCTCTCCAGATTTTGGGCACACATGCATAACTGCCAGCATGTTTCTCAAGCTACCAGGTCTGGGGCTTGAACTGTGCAGTTGGCCATGTGGGATCCAGCTGCCTTAGACACCAGACTATGGAGCTGTCCCAGCAAACATTTTGTTTAATGGAACTTTCCATTTACCTGAGATTGGGAATGAGATCCACTGTCACTACTTTTACTTAACCCTGTGAGAAAGGCTCTAACTTGTGCATAAAACAAACAAACAAATGAAAATTGCAAGAATTAGAATGAAAGACAAATTGCCATTAGTTGCAGATGACATGACTATGTATGCAACAAAAATCCAAAAGAATCTATAAGACTAAAAACTATTCGAACAAAAAGTATATTATGCTCTCTTAAAGACATTCAGGAATGTCCACAGCATCATTATGCAAAGGAATAAAAATCTGTCTATCGACAGTAGAATAAATTCCGGAATATTCACAGAATGGTATATGACAATGAAAATGAGCAAACTACTGCTACGCACAGCATGGATGGACTTCATAAACACAGTGCTAAAGAAGTCAATGTGATACATACCATACAGTTTCATTTATATTAAGTTCAGAAATGGGCAAAGCAAACTATGCTATCGAGAAAGAGTTTACTCCTGAAGTGAAAGAGTAGGTAGTGATTAGAAGGGGGGCTGCTAAGATGGTGGTGGACATGAATCGGAGAGTCGCACAACTGTATAACCTCGCCATTCAGCAGTTCTGACTAAGGTGATTCTCCAGAGCAGTAACAAACTGGGTGGCACGAACAAACCCTCCACAAACATCTGTGTGCAAGAACTGCCCGCACAGTGTGTGCCAGGTGCCGGGCAGAGGGAAGAAAAGGAAGTTATTGGGTAATGGGTAGTCTCAGTGTCACAATATGAAAAAATTCAGAGCACGGATGTGGTGATGGCCGCACAACAGTGTAAGTGTCCTTTGTGCCAACGAACTGCTTGTTGTACACCTAGAAATGGCTGTGGCGTGGGCTGGACAGTGGTGCAAAGGCAAGACATGATACCGCAGAAGCTGACACACATGGGAAAGTTCCGGGTTTGCATCCAGTGACCTTGCTGAGTATGCCTGGTGTGCGCCTGTCCACAGTCCAGGGGTAGAGGCTGGGGGTAGACTGTGGCACTGAGACCTACTGGGGGTGCTGCCTGTCTCTGTCTCTATCTCGCTCTCTCTCTGTCTCACTCATGGAAGAAGTAAATAGATAAACATTGTTAAACGTTTGTTTTTAAACAACTGCCTCAGACAGAGTTTGCCAAAGGGCTTCTAAAGGAGCTAAGGTATGAGGAGCAAAAATGCCTGGGGGTAATATGTCCCCCACCACCCCCACCCAGATCACAGTGACAACATGCCCCTACATGGAAAAGTGGCCAAAGTAGGCCTTGCTCAATGGCTTGACAGACCAAGGCCTCCCAAAGGCTTTGCTACTCCCTTATAAGAGAAGCCTTCCTAAGAGTATCCAGGGGCCCACATATAATTAGCACTCTCAGGGGCCAGCAGATGGCATAGTGGTTACATTCCTGAACTCCTACAGGGCTGACTGCAGTTTGAGTCCCAGACCTGCTGGGTGGTGGGAACCAGCAGTTAGCGTAATGGCTATGTCGCTGGACTCCCACGTAGTCGACCGTGGTTCACGTCCCAGACCCGGTGGCTTAAAACTCACGCCGGGCGCATGTGCGTGCATGCCCAAGAACCCGAGAGGAGAATGGAGGAGAAGGGATTGCGGCGTGACCATCCCCTCTGGGGGGGTGATTTCTCGCTTTCTGTCTCTATGTCTTTCTCTGTCTGTCTGGCGAGCACACGCGCCCTATAGCGAAAACTTCTCAAAAAAAGAAAAGAAACTCAAGTGGTGCAAGTGTGCCTATGATCCCAGGAGGAGACTCGAGAAAGGACTGTGGTGTGGCCATCCTCCCTGGAGGTGATTTCTCCCTTTCCTTATTACTATCTCTGTCTCTCTCTCTCTGGCGAATGCACACACCCTAAGGCAAAAACTTATATATATATAAAAATTTAAATAATTAGCACTCTCTCCTTTCTGTCCTCAGCTGCAGTTACACCTCCGAGGACAACCCAAGGCTTCCCTCCAATGTAGCAGACAGAGCTGGACTCTTACCTAGGATGCCTGAATTAACAAAGTGCACCAAGCTGAAATACTCGAGCAGATCGTTCTGGATGGGGGTCCCAGAGATGAGCACCCGCCGGCTGGTGTTTAAGCTGTCCAGGGCCTGGTAAGTCTGATTCTCAGAGTTCTTGAGTCTGTGCCCCTGCAAGGAAATTAATGCCCATTCAAGGAACAATGTAGCATCCAGGCCAGTGGTGCTTCTAAAAAGCAATGATTCCCTCTGTTCCCTCCTAGCCTTTTCCCTGTCCCAACTTTCAGAGCCTTGGCTGCCCAGCTTCCCACTTCAGAGATCATGTGGCCATGTGACAGATCTCTTTCATGAAGTCCTCCCCTTCCCCACCATCCCAACCAACCCAGAACCTTCTGAGCCAGAGGTCTTCTGTATTAGCCTCCAAGCTTTGTCTGGGCTGTCAGTGCTAAAGAGAGCTGATCTAGCCACTCTTCCACCCAAATCCACAAAGCCTCCTTCTGCCTTTCTTGAGATCTCTTACCCAGTCTATGTTCTCCTTGCCCTCCCCCCATTACACACATCTGTTACTTCTCTTCTAAGACTTTGTCAAGACAATGGTAAACGACCCTACTGCCCTGGAGTCACATGGGCAAGATCAGGCCTGTGCGCTTCCCATATCCAGCCCCCACTCAGCTCCACACTGGGCAGGTACACAAAATCAACCACCAGCGAAAGAGTGAACAAACAAAGCCTTATTTCTGCTGCTCTGCTTTTGACAATGCAGTTCAACACTTACTCTCCCTTCTACAGGAATAAGCCCAAACTCTTTAAGCTTATTAGTTTAGCTTTCAAAGCAGTTCTCAGTGAGGCCCCAGCTAACTGTTCTGATACTCTCCATGGCTTGTCATAGTCCAGGAAGCCTTGCGTCCTCATCACTCCTAAGGCTGAATGTTCTTAAGCTTCTTGAGGCCACTCCTCTGCCTTAAGCTCTTCCATACGCACAAACTCCTCACATGTCAAAGCCTCCTATAAAAGCCTTCCTTGGGGCCAGCAGGTGGCATGGTGGTTAAGGGCACTGGACTCCCACATGACTGACCACAGTTTGAGTCCCAGACCTTGCTTTCTCACTTTCTCACTCTCTCTTTCTGTCTGTCCCTCTCTGGTCAAATATAAATAAAGTGTCAAATAAAATAATTCTTTAAAAATTATTAAAAAATAAAAAGAAAGAAAAGCCTTCCTCAATGACCCCAGGCCATTGGCCACTCATCTCTGTGCTCCTATGACACTGTATACATAAGGGCTGCTCTGAGTTAGTGCAGTGACCCCCCAACCTTCCCAGCAGCAAAGACCTGGCTGTGGAAGACAATCCCTCCACTAATTCTACTGACCGGGATGTTGGGGGGTGTCCTAGAATGATCCAAATGCACATCCACCATTTACCCCAGACCACATTTCTACCACTACCACATTGCAACATACAATGAAACAATAGACGACAATAGGGTTCATGCTTCCATGAGAATCCAATACTGCCACTGATCCAATAGGAGGCAGAGCCCAGGCAGCAACACAAGCGATGAGGAGTGGCTGCGAACAGAGAAAGCCTCTCTCACCGGCCTGCTACCCTCTCCCTGCTGCATGACCTGGTGGACCAGCACCAGTCTGTAGTCTAGGGGTTGGGAACCTGATTTAGTAGGCTCTTTTAATGTGCCAGGCACCGAACTAAGCATTTTACATATAACCTCCTGTATAATGCACGAAAGTGGAAATTATAATACCCATTTTAGAAATGAAGAAACTGGGACCAGCAGTGTAATGGCTATGTCGCTGGACTCCCATATAGTCGACTGCGGTTCAAGTCCTGGACACGGTGCCTTAAACTCACGCTGGGCATGTGTGCGTGCATGCCCAAGATCCCGAGAGGAGAAAAGAGGAGAAGGGATTGCGGCATGGCCATCCCCCCGGGGGCTGAGTTCTCCCTTTCTGTCTCTCTGTTTCTCTCTGTCTTTCTGGAGAGCGCATATGCCCTATAGCAAAAAAAAAAATAAAGAAAGAAAGAAAAAGAAAAAAAAAGGAAGAAAAATGGACAAAAAAGAAATGAAGGTTCAGAGAGGTGAATAGTTATCCAAAATCAGGCTCATAGTAAGTTTCAGTCTGGGACTACATACTCCCCCTCTCATCTGTTGCCTTACATATTAGCATACTGAACACACGATACTGTACTTAACTTCTCAACTGGGCATGAACTGAAGGCACAGCCCAGGAATGGTTCACCTTTGTAATTTCAGTGCACAGAACAGAGCCAAACAGAGTACTAGTCGGTGAATGTTCGTTGAATGAAAGAATAAATTAATCACCAGTGCTATTAGAGAATAATAAACAAAGAATTTTATTTCTTAAAAAAGTATTTATTCCACGAGAGAGAGACAGATATATAGCACCTCTAATAGGGTGCTGACACCAGGATCCACACCTAGCCTCAACCAACCTGGAACGTGGGCAGTTCTCTGGACACAATCTAACCTTCCCATGTGTGTCTTGCCTCACAGAGCATCATGTTTGACTTCTGTGCTAACCACCAGCTCCAAATTTTAATTTTTAAAAGTTACTGGCGGGGAGTCAGCTGGTGGCATGGTGGTTAAGCGTGCTAGACTCCCATATGGTCAACCATGGTTTGATTCCCAGACCTGGCAGCTTGCTTTCTCACTTTCTCTCTCTCTCTGGTAAAAATTAATAGTTAAATGAAATAATTGTTTTTAAAAAGTTACTGGAGGGGCTGCAGGTGGTATAGTGGATAGAGGCACTGGATTCCCACATAGCCAACCATGGTTCAAGTCCCGGACCTGGTGGCTTGCTTTCTCACTTTCCCTTTCTCACTGTCTCTCTCTGGTCAAACTAAAAAAAAAAAAAAAGACGACAATGATGACTGTTATATCCCACTAAACTCTGTAACCAAAAACCAAAATGGCTTCAAGTGGGACAAGCCACTTGCTTTGAACTTGTTTACCGTTTATACCTATGCCTGCTTAAGTGTGATAAGCTACTTGCAAAAACATGTTTTGATGTACCCACTGCTGAAACGATAAGCACCTCCTGGACATCTTAGCAGTAAACATGTTTTGCTGGAAGAGAGACATGTTTGCCACTAAGATGATAAGCACCTGCTGATCAGATAAACACCTGCAGGCCGGTGCCCCCTCGATTAAGACTGACTACTCCCCAGATGGACTATAAAACCTCGAGCTTTCCACCACTTCTTCGGAACCGATTCCCACTCAAGCTGAGAGCAGACTCCCTGTCCGTCTCTTTGTCTGCTGTCCGGATCTCCGGTCTCCCGACCGCCTGGCCATCGCATCAGCCCAGTGCCGATACCAACGTCCACTAACCCGGACTCCAGGACGCCGGGTAAGCCTCTATCTCGATTGTGCCTTGTTAATGCCTAGTGTGCTCAGTACTCAAGTGGCTTGGAACCCGTGTCACGCTCCCCTGCCAGCCTACGACTCCCCGCGCCATGGTAGATTCGATGTTTTGTGAGGTTTCCCCTGAAATAAATACATGTTAAAAGCCCATCTGAGTTCATCTCTCTGTTCGTGAGCCTCTGACAGGGGAATCTGTATTGTTGCCTGAGACCGTTCCCGAACCATAAGTCACTACCAAATGTCGCAACCTACCTGGCAAGGCACTTCCTCCAAAGGATGGAATTTTCCTCTTCGTGACAAATACCATATGGAATTAAATAAATAAATCTTTTTTAAAACTTTACTTATTTTATATATTTTGATTTGAGCAACAGGGGCAGAATAAGAGAGAGAATGAGAGAGAGAGAGAGAGAGAGAAAGTAGGAAGGCAGGCTACCAGGTCCAGGACTCGAACCACAGTCGGCCATGTGGGAGTCCAGTGCCCTTAGCCCCCATGTCACCCACCAGCTCCAATAAATAATTTTTTTTAATTGTACTTATTCATTTATTATTTATTTTTTAAAATTTTGAACAGAGAGAGAAAATGAGAAAGCAAGCCACCAGGTCCAAGACTTGAACCATGGTAAGCCATGTGGGAGCATCCAGCACCCTAACCACCTGCTGGTCCCCTCAATAAATTCTTTTTTTTTTTTTTTTTTTTTTTTTAAGAATTACTTGACTTTGTTTATTTGTTTGTTTATTTTTTTGTTTTAAGTTGACTGGAAAGCGACAGAGAGAGATAGAAAGTATGAAAGAAAGCTGCCAGGTCCGGGACTCAAACCATGGTCAGCTACGTGGGAGTCCAGTGCCCTTCACCACCACGCCACCTACTGGATCCCAATTAAATAATTCTTAAAAAATAAAAATAAAAAAGTTTCTGGAGGCAGGCCAGCAGGTGGCATGTAGCGGAGATGCTGGACTCCCACATGGCCAATCATGGTTTAAGTCCCAGACCTGGAAGCTTGCTTTCTCACTCTCCCACTATCTCTTTCTTTCTCTGGTCGAATTTAAACAATAATAATAATGAATATAATAAATAATTCTTAAAAAAAAAAAAAAGTTACTAGACACTTGAGCCAGTCAGTTGCATGGTAGTTAGGGGGACTGGATACTACATGCCAATTGCACAGTTTAAGTCCCAGATCCAGCAGTTTGAAAAGCATACCAGGTATATGTGCATGCATGCCCAAAATCCCAGGAGGAGAATGGAAAAGAGATTGTGATGTGGCCATCCCCCTGGAGGGGTGATTTCTCATTTTCCCTTTCTCTCTCTGGCAAGTATATTCACCCTATATAAATTTTTAAAAAATAATAAAATATAATTACCGAATGTTCCACACAGAAGTCCTAAAACAGAAGGCTGAGACTTTTGAATAGGGAAATAAAGAACTTGTGAGGAATTATCCAAAGGGCCTTGGAGAAATAGGCATCAACAACTGGGTCCTCTAAACTGAAGCTCTCCAGGAGTAGGTACCACAGGATCTCCAGGCCTGACAATTAACAAGCACTTCATTAAAAAAAAAAAAAAAAAAAAAAAAAGGAAAAACCCACCCAGTCTTCCATGACTGACACCACAGTGGTCTCCATGGAAGAGGAGGCAATGCCAGCCCAACTTCCTGTCGGACCAGCCACTGAATCTCCAGACCCAGCTCCTGCCACCGTCAGCCATGAATTTAAAACACAAACTCTGCTATCTCAGCAAATTAAATGTTTGGTCAGATGAAAAGTTGGCATACTATTTACAAGCTGCTCTTGAATTTCTGTTCTGGCAGAGTTCTTAGTTTTCAAAAACAAAAAATGATTAAATACCACCACTTCTCCCTCTCTGAAACTTGAGCTCTGAGTAGCATTTACACATTTCCCATCACCTTTCATGTGGTTTGCTTTGCGTTCCAGCACTTATAAGGAGCACACCTAGGCCTGGATAAGACGCACAGGAGTCAAGCTTCTTCCTACACCAAGCTTTGGTGGCCTCCAAGGCAGCAGAGAGAGCGAGCACCAGGACTTAGAATCTCAGCACTGCACTCACTGGGTGAACCTGGGCAAGCCACCCACTTCCCTGAGCGTCAGTCTCTGAGCCCCTAATACTGAGAAGATAATGAATGGTATCGAGTCTTCCCTATTCATGCACTTTTTACCAAGTGCTTCCATAAATTCTCCCTCTTGATCCAGATCACGTCCTTTCCAAGTAGACCTTGTGCCATTTACTCTGTGAATACAGAAAGTGAGTCTCGGAGCTATCTTATCTGCTGAAAGTCATGTCCGGAAATGGCAAAGCCAAAGATGATCCCTTGTCTCTGACTGAGGATCAAGGATTTCATAGACAAGAGTTATTAGAAAGAACTGTGTATTCCAGCCTTGGCTGGGAAGAAGCCACTGTGGGTATTGGGAATGTGAATGCCTGAGTTAACACCTTCCCCTCCCAGAGTCTGAACAGACAAACTCCCCTTTCTGAGTAGACGACTCTTTCAGGACTTACTCTTCCTCAAGTCTCTGACGATTGACAAAGAGCTGACAAATAAAAGGCAAATGAGTAGAAGGGAAGGCTAGGGGACAGCAGTGTGGCAGGAGGCAGGCTGGTTGCTTGTGCCTTGCACAGTCAGCTTATAAGGCAGGACAAAGTGAGGAAGAAAAGAACCCTAAAGAGTAGGGGAAAACCTAGATGCTCCCCCATTTTCAAGCCTCAATAGCTCCAAACTGTCTTTCTCTCCCATAATGTCCCAGCCTCTGGGTTAGGCTCCTGATGCAGTCTCCCTACAAGTGACAGAGGAGGTGCCAGGGCCAAGCAAAGCAGGCACATACTCCATCTCAGTCTGCTAACTGCCTTACTGCTGCTGGGAGAATAGCCCCTCAGGGACCAGGAGTGTGCAGACACACAAGGACAAAAGCCCAACTACAAAACAGTTCCCCACAAGTAAGCATGGTACCCAGAAGTAAGCTTTTCTCTTGTCCTCTCCCTAAACACCCTCAGATCATGAGCTAATCTGCAGTCTCACAGCACAGTCGAGTCTGCAATTGGTTGACAGATGGGGCCCAGTCTTTTAGCCACCTCTTCACTCAAGCTCCAAGGCTGTACAAAGGGACCTAATTTTTCGCACGATACGCAACCCATGGCAGCAGACTCAGGGTAGTCAAGCCTGTTGTAGTTCTAAAAAGTTGTCTATAGCAGAAAGCTCCCAGCCCCCCTCACTGCTTTAAGTATGTGCACTTCTACTACCATCCATGCCTGCTGGGAAGATCCAGAAGTGACTGCCACTTAATTCTGGAGAAAAGGAAAAGGAGTCAACACGAACTACTACATGGTGTACGGACTGTCCACACTGGGTTTTTTTTTTCCGATCATGTACGTAACCTCAGCCTACAACAAAAACCAGAGCTGATCTTTACCAAAGCCTTATTTTATTTATTTATTTTGAGGTTTTTGCCTTAGGGCACACGTGCTCACCAAAGAGAGAAAGAGGCAGAGACCATGTGAAGGAAAGTGAGATATCAACCTCCAGGAAAGATGGCCACACCACAATCCCTTCCCTCCATTCTCTTCCCAGGATCTCGGACATTCATGTACACGCACCAGTGTAATTTTTAAGCCACCGTGTCCGGGACTCAAACCACATGTGTGAGTTCAGTGACAGTGATATCACTATGCCATCTGCTGGCCCCATTTATCAAGGCCTTATGACATACCAGACACTGTGATAAGAGCCTTCCCTCAATCATTTCATTTTATCCTCAAAATAGGGTTGGCCTCATAGCTTAGTGGTTAAGGGAGCTGGATCCCACATGGCTGACTACAGTTCAAATCCTGGCCTCGGCAGCTTGGAAAACATGCCAGGCACATGTATGTACAGGCCCCAAATCCCAACAAGATGAGACAATGGAGGAAAACTGACTGAGCCCCAATGGGGGGAGCTTTCTCACTTTATCCCTCTGTCTCTGGTAAACATATGTACCCTCTGGCAATGAAAAAAATCCTCAAAGTAACTCTATGAAGGTAACTTTGACAAACAGTGACACAATGATGATAAAACACAATGCTCTGAAAGGCTGACCCACATGGGAAAGTTCTGGGTTCATGTCCAAAGACCTCCTGAGTACCTAAGGCATGTGCCTGCCCATGATCCGGGACTGGCTAGGAGTAGATTGTGAAACCAAAACCCTGTTGGAGGTGCTGTCTCTCTGTCTCTTGCTCATGGAAGAACTAAATCAACCTAAAGGGCTAGCAGGTGGCGTGGTGGTTAAGGCACTGGATCCAGGATCTCGTGACCTAAAAATCACACCAGGCATGTGTGTGTGCCCAAAATATCGCAAAAGGAGAATGGAGGAGGAGGAACTGTGGAGTGACCATCTCCCCAGGGGAGCTCCCCCTGGTGAGCACATATGCCCTATGGCAAAAAAAAAAAAAAAAAAAGGGTAAAAAGAAACTAAAAAAAAAAAATCTTTATGAAGCCAGTATTATTGCCTCATTTTGCTGATGGAGAAACAAAGGCTCAGGTGGTTAACTAACTTAGTTAACCGGACACAGTGCCGGAGACAGGATCTGAATAAAGTCTCTCTGACTCTAGAACCTGCTGCCCCAAAACTCGTGCCATGTCTCTCCACTCGTCCAAACCCCACCTCATCCTGTAGGGCCCTTCTTTGGTGTCTGCATACTGTCTGGAGGCAGTCAAACCAAACAGCCCACAGCACCTCAGCCTCCTGGGGTCCCAGCACTCTTGGATCCTTCTTTTGGCACACTGGTATCACAGGTCCCCCCTCCCTTGTCTCCCAAGGCAGCATTTCTGTCCCCAACATCATACGCAGTGCCTGGCCTTCGGCTGGCAGTACTCAGCAAGAGACGTCAATCGACTTCCCCTACCCCCAGACCTCTGAGGCAAGTACCTCGTCACAAATGACCAAGCCAACACTTCCTTTCTGGAGGACTCCCACATGAAGGCGGAAGGTCTCATAGGAAATGATGAGGATGGGAGAAGGCACGCGGGCTCCACGCTGGTTCATGAATCCTTCTATAACAGAAAGGGTATCAGGACCTGTATCAGACTATCTTAAAGAAAGAAAAGTCTAACGGTTCTTTAATTTATCCTGGAAATAATGACTACTTCAACTATATTCAGTGAATTCTCTTCTCTTCCATCCCTGCATTGCCCTCAGCCCTGGCCACCAGTGAGCACACATAAAGAACACCGTAGGGCTAGACCCACAGACAAGGTCCTGGGTTTCATTAGGGTCTCTGTGTGCACACCGGGCACGCATGTGTGTCCACGATTCAGGTGGGCTGAGGCTGGACCACAACGGGGCCCTTTAGGTTTGCTATCTCTTTGTCTCTCTCATGGAAGAAACAAACTTTAAACAAAGCAAAACAAAGCAAGCAAGCAGGCGGGGCAGAAGAGTACAGCCACCTTGGTAAAAGGCTCCATACCCAGTTTTTGGTCTATCTCATCCTTAGATCCTCCATCAATGGCCAGAGGTTGGATTCTCCCTCCGAGCCATTTCCCAACTTCATTGTACCAGTTCTTCACCAGGCTGGAGGGCGACACCACCACTGCCTTGTCGATTTCTGGCTTGCACTCTGGACTCTGGCGCAGAAGCGTCCACATCAACGTGATGCACTGCAGCGTCTTCCCCAGGCCCATCTCATCAGCCATGATGCAGCCGTGGCTGCCAGGGATGCGCCGACTGGTGACACACTCCCACAGGAACTTCACCCCCTGGGGAGTAAGAGCACTCCGTTCACTCTGGCACTTGCACTGCCACTGCCTCAGGAATGGCTGTCTCCCAGGCTCAGCCCCTAGGCCACACCTTACCCTCATTTACCTCTCTCTGATGAGGCCGCAGAACCTTACTGAGAATAGGATCGACGACCACATGGACAGGGAGCTTTTCCCTGGGAAAACAGAAGAGGACACCTGGTGTTTGGTCATGACAAGGGCACCCCTCGGGAAGTCATGTCCTGCTATCCATGACAACAGAGTCGGCTAGCCAAAAGGACCTCCTTGGCCTGGTAACCAAACCACAGTAAGCTCTAGCTCTAGGAGTGCGAGTCAGGAGAGTGAAGCAGGTTCTCTATGCCATGACCTGAATCACTACTTCTCCCAAGTGAGAACAAGAGGGGTTAAAAAAAACCTACTGATGGGGAGGGGGACCAGCAGATGACGTAATTGTTACATCGCTGGACTCCCACGTAGTCGACCGCGGTTCGCGTCCCAGACCCGGTGGCTTAAAACTCACGCTGGGTGCGTGTGCATGCGTGCCCAAGATCCCGAGAGGAGAATGGAGGAGAAGGGATTGTGGCGTGACCATCCCCCCTGGGGGGTGATTTCTCGCTTTCTGTCTCTATGTCTCTCTCTGTCTGTCTGGCGAGCGCATGCACCCTATAGCAAAAAACCTCTCAAAAAAAAAAAAACTCCTGTAGATACCAGCGGATGACATAATTGTTACATTGCTGGACTCCCACGTAGATGACTGCATTTCAAGTCCTGGACCTAGTGGCTTAAACCTCACACTGGGTGCATGTGTGTATGTGTGTGTGCCCAAAATCCCAAGTGGAGAATGGAGGAGAAGGGATTGCAGCATGGCCATTCCCCCCTCCCTGGGGGGGGACAATTTCTCATTTTCTGTCCCTCTTTCTGTCTTTTTGGCAAGTGCACACACCCTATAGCAAAAAATCTCTTTCAAAAAAAAAAAAAAAATCCAACTCTGGATCAGCTAGTTGGCATGGTGGTTAAGGCCACCAAGTCCCACATGGCCAACTGTGCACTACAAGTGCCAGACCCAACAGCTCGAAAATGTGCCGGGTGTGTATGTGTGTGTGTCCAAAATCCCATGAGGAGAATGGAGGAGAAGAAACTGTAGCATGATCATCCCCCAGGGGCTGATTTTTCACTTTCTCTCTCTCTGTCCTACTCTGTACAGTACATGTGCCCTGTAGCAAAAAGAAAAATAAAAACAGTGGCTGGCAGGTGGCGTGGTGGTTAAGTGTGCTGGACTCCCACATGGCCAACCATGGTTCAAATCCCGAACCTGGCAGCTTGCTTGCGCTCTCTCTCGCTCTCTGTCCCTTGCTGGTTAAATTAAAATAAATAAAGTTAAATAAAATAATTCTTTAAAAAAATTATTAAAAAACAAAACACAAAAAACCCACTACTGGACTCAACCGCAGGCTCTTCCCAGGCACACTCCTTCCCCAAATACCTACTCTCTGATGGCACAGTGTCATGGCAGCTCTCTGAACACATGCCTATCCCAAAGAGCTATCACAGCCACGTGCCCTCGGCCCTCCCAGGTACGTGCACTTACAGAGGCCCAGGACTGCTCAATACCAGTGCACATACTTGTCAAGCTTCAGCTGATCATGGGCACTCAGCGGGGGAGGCTCGTACAGAACCAAGGCACCTTCTTCCAGAGGGTCATGGAGGGCCCGGCGGACCCCAGCCCTTTTCAGGCCCAGTGCCCGAGATCCCAGAGGACCTGAAACCAATAACCAACCTGTCACCTGAGCCAGGAATGTTCGCGAGCTCCAGCAGGCCTGTGCTTCTCATAACTTTTCCTGAGCTCCCATGTGACCCTCTCTTCCCCAGGCAGGGCCCCTCTGCCTGACCATTACCCCATTCTGCCTTAGACCAGAAGCTTTCTCACTTTCTCTCTCATTCAACTACTAACTTCTGGAGGGCTCTCAAATTCAAGTCTGTCTTGGGAAGGACCAAAACCCTAAAGGGCCCTTTTAAAAGTCTGAGAGCTCTTGAGGTCCCTCCTCCCTCCCCAGTACAATGCTGTGCTCTACATAAGGCGAGGGAAACCGTGTAGATTCTAGCCTCCCACAGTTGTCCTCACAAAGGAATGCCAAGGAACGCAGCTGGCCCGAATGAAGCCCAGTCTCTCCGCCACCTTGGCCCACCAGGAGGTTTCTGAGCACTGGTGCCCCCAGCCACAGTTTTCATGCGGGTCTCAGGATGGTCCCCCACACATAGCCCCACTGTGCTAGCACCTTCAATTCCTAGCTAAGCTCGTATTTACAAAAGCAGAGGTTTAAAAATCCATTCAGGTACACCCATATCTGACTGACCAAAACCAGAAAAAGTCTGTATGACAATTACCTTGATAATTTGGAATGGGGACTTTGAAAGGCTTTGACAAAATGCTTCGAATGAATGCTTCCTAAAAAGAAAGAAGAAACAGAGATTTAGAGCAGACTGGAGATGTTAAGGGACACTACTGTTGTGATAAGCTCCACATTAGGTTTTTGTTCACGGCTTATAATTTGAGACTTTATGCAAAGTTCCACAAACACCCAGGGATGGTAGAAATGCCCAGCCTCAGTCAACCAAGAAATCAGAACCCACTCAATCATGGAAGACCATGCCAGGGAGAACACCGGGCTTTTCCTGGGGTGCAGTCCTTTGAGAAGTAAGCATGACACTCAGTCAACCCAGTATTAAGAGCACTACAGAGACCAGCAGGTGGCATGGTGGTTAAGGACACTGGACTCCTACATGGCTAAATATGGTTCGAGTCCCAGACCTAGCCCTAGTGGCTTGCTTTTTTGCTTCCCCTCTCTCCCTCTCTCTGGTCAAATTAAAAATAAATAAATAAACAAACAAATAAATAAAGTTAAATAAAACAATTCTTTTTTGGGGGGTGGGGAGGTTTTTGCTATAGGGTGTATGTGCTCACCAGAAAGACAGAGGGAGACAGAGACAGACAGTGAGAAATCACTCCCCAGGGGGGATGGCCACACCGCAATCCCTTCTCCAATCTCCTCTCGGGATCTTGAGCACGCACACACACGCGCTGGGCTGAGTTTAAGCCACCGGGTCTGGGACTCAAACCGCAGTTGACTATACGGGAATCCAGTGACATAGCCATTATGCCAACTGCTGGTCCCAATAAAACAATTCTTTATTTAAATAAAAAAAAAAAAAGAAGAAGAAGAAGAAGAATACACCACCTAGGTTTGACCTTGGGCCTACAGGGCTGCATCTTCCCAAGCATACCTTACAAGGCTTCTGCTGCACATCAGTTCTTCCTACTACATCTAATTCTCACACCAGTTCCCATATCAACCTCCTTGGGAATTAAACAAAGGGTAGAGGTAATAGAAGTAAAAGGAGCCTCAACAAAACCAGAGCCAGAAACTGGGAGAGCAAGGGAAAAGCCAGAGCAGAGCCCCTACAGGTGGCTTTGATGGGAATCTATCAGTAAAGTCATCATACTGTTAATAACAGCAATAGGCTCCCCCCTTCTACCCTTCCACCAGGGAATGACCCTTGCCAGATGCCAGCACCATGCTTAGACTTCCCAGACTCTGGAACCATGAGCCAAATAATTTTTTTGTTGTTCATAAATTAAAAAGAAAAATAAATAACAGCAACTGAAATGACAATAATGATGGCTAACAGTGTATGCCAGGGCAAAGCCTCTTGCACTCATGTTACCATTTAATCCTCACCAGCAGCCCTATGAGGGCATGTATTACTGACATTCCT